GGAAACTTCCACCGATACTTAATACGGTGTTCAACGCCTCATCGTCATTTATCGGTAATATTTTGTACTTGCTGGTTGCTTGCCACTAGCGATAAGGATATCTACATTTGAAGATCAATCGGACTGTTTCCCCGTAACTTGCCACCTTGGGCATAACATCTCCTCCAAATTGCCAAGTGTGGTGCCAAGTTGCACCCCATATATCCCTTTCGACCCAGCATCATACGACACACCTTCATCGGGATCCTGAATTATGTTTCCCCCCCAGTAAAAGATAATTGGAACAGTTGCCATATACTTGCTTCAATGAAACAATAAACATTAAAATATCAACAATATACATATATCGAATTCTACTTCTAAAATAAACATTAAAAGAAGAACAATAAATTTTCAAGAAGCCACATTTATATCATAAGTGACATTTTCCTATCAAAATCAACCCTCTCATTTTTTGTCAATTTATATTTTCCAGGGTTGAAGGAACTGTAGAGGTAAAACATTAATTCAATTTATATTTTGTCAGCTGTATATTTGTGTCTCAATTTGATTATTACTGTTTATTTTCTCATTTTTCTCACTTATTTTTATTCATATAAAACAACAGCTGAGATTTCATCTCTACGTGAAGTTTTTATTTACTTCCTATGTGAAGACTCTTGTCTTCTCTACGTGAATGTTCTTTGTTGTCATCGCTCTCTTGTCTTAATTTAAAAAAAAACATCACAACAAGTATACTTCTTGTCTTAATTCTTTTGAATTAGTGGCGAAAAATAAATTTTGAATCACATTGCATCAATAACTTCATATGATCCCTCCCTCAATATGATCAATTTGTAAAAGGCATTCACTGAAAATAAATAAATAAATAATAACGACTCTACACAACCGTTAATTTAGGCAATGATTTAATCGTACGCATGTAAGCGGGACCAATTTTAAAAACATGTATTTTGTTTTCTTTTCATAAATCTTGTTCTATTTTTTAGTATTTTCATAAGGTAGACAGATATATCACACATTTAAAAAAACATTTCATTGTATCAAGTATTTTTCTTATGCAGTGAGACTGGACAAAATTGGACAAATCATACAAACATCTTAAATCAAAGTGTAAGTTTTGTAGATAATTAAATATTTCTTCCATTGAGTTGAAAGAACACGATTGATTTGGACAATATAAAATAGAGGTTGCAAACATTGTTATTAATTTTTTAAAACTGGTGATCCAATTCTTCAGATTCATGGACAATATAAGTTAATTTGATTTGCTCAAACTTGTGCCTAGGGACCTTAATGACAAAGTTATTTCCTATGTGAACTAGTAACCCTCGTCCACTTTGTAGAGATCATAGAGGCTTTCTTATAAAATTAAAACAAAAAGCTCATTTTGGATCGTTCTGAAAAATAAAAATAAAAAATTAATTTATTTACTCCTTTTTTTTCTTAAACATACAAAAACAAAAAAATAATTAGAGAGATAATTTATAATGGCCAAAAATTAGAGAGAATTAAATTGAAGTTGGTGGTTAAATGTATGGACTAAATTTTGGATAGTTATCCATGTAAATCTATCGGGCCATCCGTACCCAATTATTTGGTATTACGAAACACAGGCTTACCCATCAAAGTGCCATTTTTTTTTTTTCCTTCTTACCTACGAAATTGCTATGGACTATTAATTAAAATAGTTTAAGCCTCTTTTCATGCATATATTATAACTAGTCTAATAATGACTTCTAATTATGTAAATAAAAATAAAAATTATTAAAACATAATGTTTAGATTTTCCTTTTCAATGGTGGTGGACAGTCACAAAGCGGAAGTGGCGATAAGTCACTTCGTTCAATACCCATTAGAGAGAATTAAATTGAAGTTGGTGGTTAAATGTATGGCTAAATTTTGGATAGTTATCCATGTGAATCTATTGGGCCATCCGTACCAATTATTTGGTATTACGAAACACAGGTTTACCTATCAAAGTGTCATTTTTTTTTTTTTCCTTCTTACGTACGAAATTGCTATGGACTATTAATTAAAATAGTTTAAGACTCTTTTCATACATATATTATAACTAGTCTAATAATGACTTCTAATTATATAAATAAAAATAAAAATTATTAAAACACAATGTTTAGATTTTCCTTTTCAATGGTGGTGGACAGTCACAAAGCGGAAGTGGCGATAAGTCACTTCGTTCAATACCCATTAGAGAGAATTAGAGAGAATTAAATTGAAGTTGGTGGTTAAATGTATGGACTAAATTTTGGATAATTATCCATGTGAATCTATCAGGCCATCCGTACCAATTATTTGGTATTACGAAACACAGGCTTACCCATCAAAGTGCCATTTTTTTTTTTTCCTTCTTACCTACGAAATTGTTATGGACTATTAATTAAAATAGTTTAAGACTCTTTTTATGCATATATTATGACTAGTCTAATAATGACTTCTAATTATATAAATAAAAATAAAAATTATTAAAACATAATGTTTAGATTTTCTTTTTCAATGGTGGTGGACAGTCACAAAGCGAAAGTGGGGATAAGTCACTTCGTTCAATACCCATTTTAAAAACTTTTTTAAATTTTCTTAAGTTTTCAAAGGAAATTTTAATTTGTACTATAATGCTATTATATGTATTACAAATTCAGCTCATTAGCTTTTTTAATCATATTCTGGGTGCCTGACCCCAAATATAGTGAAATAAACCAGACGAAATTAAACCAAAATTTTTTTATTTAAATAAAATAGAGTCAAAATTAAATATTTTGAGACAACATGATATTTTCATTTATTATTTTGAAGTCAATAAAAATATTTTTTTTGAATAAAATAGAGTCAAAATTAAATATTTCAGAAAACATGATCTTTTCATTTATTATTTTGAAGTAAATACAAATATTTTTTTTTAATAAAATACATTCAAAATTAAATATTTTTTGTTTAATAATTACATTTAGTAGAAATTAGACATTTTGATTAAAAAAATATAGACATTAACAATTTCTGAAGCATAATTTGATTCAAAAAATATAGACATTTTGATTCACAAGCATAATTTCAAAATAATTACATTTAGTAGAAATTAGACATTTTGATTCAAAAAATATAGACATTAACAATTTCTGAAGCATAATTTGATTCAAAAAATATAGACATTTTAATTCACAAGCATAATTTCAAAATTCCAATTTCTGATTTCAAATTTCAAAATATAAACATTTCATAATTCCAATTCAACAATTCTCAATTACATAAATTCCGTAATATGACATTAACAATTATGAATTATATGAATTTCAATTTTTTAAATTTTATTCTTAATTAAACAAAATTACTTTTAAAACCCTAATTTCAAACCCTAATTTCCTTTTAATTCCTCTTAACAAGCAAAAAAAAAAAAAAACTCACAAGCATAATTTCAAAATTTCAATTTCTAATTTCAAATTTCAAAATATAGACATTTCATAATTTCAATTCAACAATTCTCAATTACATGAATTCCATAATATGACATTAACAATTATCAATTATATGAATTTTGAATTTTTTAATCACGATTCTTAATTAAAAAAATTACTTTTAAAACCCTAATGTCAAACCCTAATTTCCTTTTAATTCCTCTTAACAAGCAAAAAAAAAAATAATTTCCAATTCAACAAATATAAGTTGGTTTATTAAAAATTCAAAATATAGGCATTTTGATTCACAAGCATAATTTCAAAATTCCAATTTCTGATTTCAAATTTCAAAATATAAAGATTTCATAATTTCAATTCTCAATTCTCAATTATATGAATTTCATAATATGACATTAACATATTTATGATTTATGAATTTCATAATTCCAATTTTCAATTCTCAATTCTCATATTTATGATTTATTTAAAAAATTCAAAAAATTAAAAAAATTCCAAACCTGATTTATGATTCAAAAGCATAAAAATTCACAAGCATTAGAACCCTTAATAATGTGAACCCTAAAATGACATCCTACCTGATTTCTGATTTCAAAAAATTCCAAACCCTAATTTCATAACCACACTGATAAAGCGTAAAAAATCCAAACCCAAATATTCAATTCACAAGCAACATCCAAAAATTCAAAAGCATAAAAAATTTCACAAATTCAAAAGCATTCACATTTCTGATTTCTAATTTCCAAACCCTGATTTCTGATTTCAAAAAATTCCAAACCCTAATTTCATAACCACACTGATAAAACCCTAACACATTTAATAATTCACATATAAAACCCTAACATTCACAGCAAATTAAAACACATTCACAATTCACAAACACAAAAAATAAATACATAAAATTAGGGTTGACTGTCATACCACGAAGAGAGAGAGAGAGAGCAAAGACAGAGAGTGAGAGCAGAGAGCAGAGGGAGAGCGAGAGCGACAGTGAGCCGAAGCAGAGTGAGATCGAGTGAGTCTGAGAGCAGAGGGAGATGGAGAGTGAGAGATGGAGAGTCTGTTTGAGACAGATAGATCGAGCAAGAGACGAAAAACCTAAGTGTCAAAAACGTGAATGCAAATGAGGGAGGGGCTTCGTCTTTTATAGGAGTGTTAAAAACGCTTTTTCAATTAGCGTTTTCATTTAGCTACAGTGAAGTCACCATTTGAAATAGCGTTTTATTCACAAAGGTGATGCACAGTGAAGTCGCTATTCGGAATAGCGTTTTCTTCAGGAATGAAGCGCTATTTGGAATAGCGTTTTATACGGGGAAAAAAATTGAGGTTAATATCGCTATTCGGAACAGCGTTTTCTTAATTAAAATCGCGATTCACAATAGCACCTTCACTATTCATCAAATTTTGGCCTCCAAACAGTTAAAGCACGATTTGTAATAGCGCTTTAACTTAGTTTGGGAAATCCGTCAAAACTAGGCCTAGTTTGAGAAATAGGAGGCAAAAGAGGCTTAGTTTGGGAAAAGCCTCCACCATTGTTACCTTCCAGTCATCCAAGATGTGAAGCAATTGCATAAATAAAAATATAAAAAAATTAAATTAAATTTTAAAAAATAAGGACAGAAAAAGAAACAAATACCTCAAGTATAATGAACCAACCAATGATGCCCAAGCTAACTTATGTCCAATAAATGAAAAATAAAAATAAAAAAATTGGGGCTAATAACTCAATATGCAGGTACTTGGGAAGTTGGGAACTGTAGAAAGTGCGAGAAGAGAGAGTGGTGGGTTGGCGGTTTTTGGTTTTTAACTCTTGAGAACACAGAGAACCACTCAAGCACATATCAGTTCAGTAGCTTTCTTCAAAACATCCCTACATTTGGAATGGTAGCTGTTCAACCAATCTACTTCTTCTGGCATTAAAAGGCTCAAATCAATCAGCTTTTGCTGGTATGGTGCCTGAATATAGGATAAAGCGTATCACATATCAGAAGAATGATTAGCAATCTTGCAATATCACAGTCATGTCAACAGCAATACAAATGATAAAGAAAATTGGACCCCAAAAAAAATTTAAAAATTCTGTACATATTACAGAACGGGTCGTTCTTTACAGTTCTGATGAAAGCAGAATTCAAAAAAATGTGCCACCTTCTTCACAAAGAAATATTGAATGAGCCTTATTTTTTTTGTATTTGTTTTAATTTGATTCTTTTGGCCAAGTCAATTCACCCACAATTCTTCACTAGTCCCAAATTCAAGTTTCTCACGTCATTACAGGGTAAAAACAGGATGCTAAAGATAAGAAACTTACCCATGTTATGTGCTCAAATGATAAGTAACCCTTGTCCCCAAAATTAAACTTTGTACCAGCCTCAATGACTGCCAGCACGTTCCCCAATCGAATACCGAATTTCCCATCCTCGTAATAGCCGGGTTCTGATAATTTAATTCCAATAAAAAAAATTTGAAAGCAAAAAGGAAAATGGAGAAAAATAAAGGTTTCTGACATGCACAATTCAACGAGTTCTTGGAAAAAAAAAAAAAAACCACATGGGCAGAATTTCATCTAGAACCAGCACATTGAATATGAACTATGATGGAGATATTTCAGCACAGTGGTCTATGATTGTCTTCAATAATTTAATAAATAAATAAAAGAAAACAAAAGAAAAAAGGTATTCAAATGTTGGATTCAAAGTAATTCTTTGGTAATTCAAAATCGGTCCTCATTCGTCCAGCCATTAATCACTCACTTGCATGAACTTTTGTCAGAATAACTTTAAAAAATAAAAAATAAAATTACTTTAGTAAGGTAGAGAGTAAAAACCTCAAAGAAGAATGATTGCATTGCATAGACATGCAACAACTATGAAAAGCTCAATTATTTGATACATGAATGTAATAAGATAACCGATGCAATGCAATGAAGTGTAGAAATTCGTTCTAGAGCCATAATCCAAAGTGAACATAGGACTCACCATCTGTTACAGTCATTGAAGTTTGTATTGGGACATTCCTAGCATGTGGTCGGAAACTAATTAAATGAGGTCCTGTCCCATATATAAAGACAACAATATATGTCAACCTAGTCTTCATAAAAGTTGACTTAAGACAACAGGGGACAAACTCTTTTTGTCATCGCTTACCCTCATGAACATTTAAGTAAGAGCCAATTCCATGACCAGTACCATGTCGATAATCAAGTCCATCCTTCCACAAAGGAATTCGAGCAAGAATGTCAAGAGCATGCCCTATACAGAGCAAAATTTCAATTATCATATATTAACAAAACTACATTCATAAGGATCAAAAATAGCAATAGCTAAAACGTGTGTATTTAGGGATCCACTCTCCATCCAATGGTCCTTGTCTTCTCTGAAACAAAAACTGCTCAATTATTAATATTAAAAGCATAAAAACAATGGAAAGTTTGTAATACCATTGGTTCCATTTGGAAAGCAAGCATTCCCTAATGCAATGTGACCCTTGAGAACCTGAATAAAAATCCAGAAAATCAAGTGATTTTTAAGACCCCGGATACAATTAGCCATAACGAAAAGGGGAGGAAGGGGAATCTAAATTTACAGTTTCGAAAGGTGATTAGAGAACAGGTATTCATTATTTAAAACTACAAAATCCAAAAAGTAAAAAACTATGACAGTAACTGGAATATAAAACTGAACTTGGATAATTCTTTCCTGGAAGATAGTTACTCCTTTCCCAAGGACATAGTAGAGGCAGCTCAACTTAACTTAAAAAACCATTACTCAATGAAGTGGTGCCAAACAACTATCCCAGGGAAGTATAAAACAAAAAGTAAACATCAAACATGCTCCTAATATGTAAAAACTTTCTCCAGCACAATATATAAAACTTTGATTTTAAAAATAAAATTACTTTTAAGTGATATTTGGTTGTATTTAGATTGATGGATTGTATATGAGGTTCACATCTCTATGCTCACCTCTCCCTAAGTGATCTAACCCTAATAACTTATCCTCCAATTGATTCTTATATCTGAACCTCAAATACTCCACTTCCAAATCTGTTCATCCAAACAAAAATGGCGGTAGCGTTTGGTTTACTTTTCAAAACTCAATGCTGTATTTAAATCATGATTTGGGTGCAACATGTTAACCAAACATATTTTTAAAATACAATTCAAAATTACCTTCAAAACTCTTCTATTCTCTTTTTTTTATTATTATTATTAATCAATCAATCAATTACTTTTTGTCTCTCATCTCTCCTCTCTTCTCTCACATTCTATACATCAATCAATCAATCCAAAAAAAAAATTAAATTAAATTAAATTACAAATCATCCCAAAACTATTTTCAAAACTCATAACCAAACAACTTTTCTCTTTTTAAATCATGATTCAAAAACTCAAAACTCAAAACTCAAAACACAACTCTACACTCAAATCATAATTCTAAAACTTAAACCAAACGGACCCGAAGTTTCTGTTCATGATGGCACTTCCATGAATTTACATAGTCTGTGAAGTGTTTCATTCCAAAGTATTTATTTCTAGGCTGGTTGAAACACCATCATTGCAAATTATATTATAACTTGGTCCCACTCCATAAACACCTTACCAACCAGGGAGAAGATTTCTAAACTACTATTAGCAGCACTAAATGAGTTCATTCCATTCCCACAGTATTTATTTCTAGGCTGGTTGAAGCATCATTATTGCAAATTCTTTTATACCTTGGTTCCCACTTCATAAATACCTTACCAACGAGGGACAAGATTTCTAAACTACTTATTAGCAGCACTAAATGAGTCAAAATCAAAATTGGGACAACCGTATTCTTGGAATCAAAATTGGAACAACAACATTCTTGGAATCAAAATTGGGACAGCGGTGTTCTTGGAATGAGTGAAACAACGTTAGCTTGGATTTTCAATACCAAATAAACATGCAACTGTTAAGGAAAAAAAAAACAAATACCACATACCACAGTATAACATGCTTTCTCATGCGCTGTAGGTTTTCCAAAATGAACTGCCCGTGTTATATCAGTCGTTCCATCTAGATACTTCAAAAGACCAACACCCAAAAACTAAAAGATATCAAGACATCCAAAACATCAAAGTATGGTAGAATACAGTATAATTTATAAATGACATTTTACTGGTTAATTCTGCAAATGAACATAGGCTTTCAGGACCAAACTATTTCAGATAGCAGACAAACCTGTGCTCCAGAATCAAATAGATAAATGCTATCTGCATCAAGTTCTGAACCTGTTTTCGGATCTGGTTCATAATGGATAATTGCCGCATTGGGACCAACAGATGAGATAGTAGGAAAACTCAACCCTCTGAAATGCTGCAGATAAAAAATTTAATAAGACCATGATCATGTGAAAAAAATGGAACTTTTAGGTACAGAACACCAATAAATCTATGCCAACCTTCTACTCAAAACAAAAATAAGAACAAACCAACCACATGGGATGCTAACAGTTTCATTCAAATAAAAAATAAAAACACATTACATTATTTTTATACAAACCATGGCCAGATTTTATACAAAACATGCTATAATGTAACCACGCCAACCTCTTTATTTACAAAATCCATTAGCTGTCAAACATGCAGCAACAAAGGAAAACACACTTCAAACAAGCTTTTATCCTCCAAGGAACACATTAAAGTGTTTGGAATCGGATTTAAGAGGTTTCTTCATCACCAAGTTGATGAGGGAAAGTTCAACGAAGAAAGGAATGCATGCATAAAACAAACTAAATAAATTAAAACATCAGAAAATGTAACTACCAGCAGATACATATCCCCTTACCAAAAAAACAATATTGAGTTACAATTAGAGCTACTAGAACTAAGAATCCTACTTCAAACCTCAGGAAACCACTTGATGTTCTTAATTGATACACCTGGTTTCAGATCATTCAAAATTTTCAATTTATAGGAAGAAGGCATTACCTCTTTTGATGCACGGAAGCCCTCTAGCTTATCACTTGCAGACACTTCTGTCAGCTTCATCATTTCCCTGCCATAAATTATTTAATCACCAACATGCTGGCTAAAAAATGTGTTGCAACTGCAGTGTAACTCTGGTGCAGTCTACACAGAAAAATGATCCAAATGAACCATGATTTCCAACAGAGATCAAATGCTGAATTATATACAAATAGAGAGCAATGTGCTAGTGGGGAGCAAAAGAACCCACTCATTGATGGAAAGATTAGTGCAGTAATTCTCAAATTTAGAAGTAATGTACATGAGTTTCCACTCAAAAGCAATGCCATATCTATGATTCTGAGAGAAAACTAAGTTCAAAGTATTGGATGACCATGCTGAATTGTTTTATCTGGCCTTCTATAAATTCATGTATTTCATCAACCACTTGTCAATTAAATATGTAAAAAAGACATACTTGAGCTATACTAATGCTTAAGAAAGAAGCAATCTTCTCGTATGGATTATAAAAAAAGGTGCAATCTTATCATATAGATTATCAGAAGAATATATAATCTCCTTATCTATCTATACTATTATAATGCGAACACCCTTGTGGTGTCATGAAGCCTTTGTTTCTTATGCTGCCATGTGTTTATTTTTTTATTTAAAATAAAAAAAAATAAAATAAATAGATAGATGAGAGGAGGGAACTTGAACCTTAGACTTATGTTAAATGAATAAGACTCTTACCACTTGACTCGAACACAATATATAATAAATATTTTATTTTATTTTTATTTATTTAAATTGCACACGCATCGCGTGTGGCAACCGCTAGTAGAAATAAATTCCACCATGCATGAAAGAGATGCTGTGTGAGGGTACAAAAGGAATTACTCTAAGCTGTGCAATCATCAAGTAAACTAGCCAAAGTTAACAATATCGACATGAAATAACTTACGGATGTTTTTTCTTGTTCGTACTCTTCGCCTCCATGAAGTAACCAGAAGCTCCATAAATTTCTTGCATCTGGACTTTTGGAATGAGGTAGAGATCAGGGTTTTATCAATGTTAATTCAATATTAATACAATCTAAGGTTCTAAGAAGGTTTTCATTTATATAAGATGTGTATGTACAAGACCAGCACAAGAAAGAGGTTTCTGAAATAAATATCAAGTTTGCAAATTTCTGGCTCAGGATAACAAAAAACATAAGTAAGAGATACCAGTTTAATTCCAATGAAAGTTTTAACATAAGAAAATTTTGAAACAATCAAAAGAGAAACATCAAAACAGAATCTTCATATTATCCAGCATCAGTATAAGCTTTCAGCAACAAGCACTGCAACCCTAAATTTAGGAGGTTGTCTATGAAATCTTCAATGCACAAGCCTTTAAAGATACAAAGAGCAATAATCTTTATAAAGATGGGGTGTGCAAAAGAACATTCTGTAATGGCCAAAAACAATTTACCACACTTGCAAACGTACACCTCACATGACCCAAGTAACTATGGACTATGTCAAATATGATGGCACATCATCTACAATAGGATGAGATTTTTATATGAAAAAAAAAAGGGGGGAAACCGTAGACAATGGAAAGGTACAATTTTTTTTATTTTATATATGTATAAAATAGGCATACTAAAACATCATCCTAACAATTACCTGCTTATCCAGCCAGAAAAGATATTGCACAACAGCTGCACCATCCCTAATGTGTGCCTTTTTTAACCCATCCAACTCAACTGGGTTCTGCAAATGTAAAACGACCAGCCAGTCATTCAAAAACCAAAAAATCTATTTGGCAGAAATATAAGGTATCAACACAAAAATGTTTGTGATATATGACCATTGCCTTGATCAAAATAAAGTTGCTTGGGTATGTGGCAGTAACATGTTTGCAACCACATCAGATGGTTGTAGACGTTTAATTTTTAATTTATTAATCTACCACCATTTGGGCTCTTTGTGTAGTTAGACTTCAACTTAATCCAGGAACTCCACATTATGTTCTCAATTGAAATAGATATTTACATAAATCCAAAATATGCATAAACAAATATATTGATCCATAACCATATAAATTCTTACAGTACAAACGTACAAAACTCAATATCAAGTAATTGCACAATTAGTTTGCACCACTGAGAGGATCTCTCAAAAGAAATTGACATCAAAATAGATTTTATTTCATGGCAAATTGCCAAAACAACTAGAGTAAAAGCTGCACCAGTACAGTCTGGAGCTGGTCCTATGAAGATTTTGGTTCATTTTGCTTCAATAGAAAATTTAGGGGTTGTTTGGGAACATCCTATACTTATTGTCCTTATATCTTATTTGGTTCACATCACTTCTTATTTAGGTCACATCACCTCTCTACTTTTCTGCACATCTTTTTGTAAAAAGCAAAAGGTTACTAAAATAGCCTATTCCCAAAGAATAAAGTAGTAAGATCATTGCCACCAAACGTTACAAAAATTCAGAAAATCCATGCCTAGAGTAAATATTAACAAAGATTGGGGTGATATTTTGGAATAACATCACTTCAAATGAGTGCCGGCTAATGTGGTATTTAACTATTAACTGACTTTAACAAACACAACAAAATAATTAATCATGCTTGGTCACGTTAGTAAAGAACTATTCAACCAGAATTATTTTGTGAGAATGTTGTTTTATGTCCTGCCTTGATAGCTTTTGCGAGGGCCAAAGGTGACTGTTTCAGGAGAACCTGATCAGAATTCAGTTTTGAATACAAAGCAAAGCAGCATGAACCAGAGTCAATCCAGATAAGGTTATGGTTTTTATCTTCTGCTTCACTAGTACCATTTTCTGTTTCCATGTCCTTTGGGACATCAGATGGAGTTTCATTAGCTGAAGAGGAAGACCTGAGCTGATTCGATGCAAGCAAGACCACATCTGAGCTCACTACAGCATAGTCTCGTACTTCGATCCCATTTTGCTTCAAGTAAGAGTTTACCTACATACACTTGGCATTTGTTAGACAAGTCCCAAACATATAAACTTTAGATGTTATTGTCAAATTATGTTAAAGATTGAAATATGCAAAATTGAAAAAGCTGTAGCTGACCTCAGAAGACAACTTTCTCTCGTCCACATAAAAGAAAGCCGAGAGGGATGTTACTATAGCAAATGCGTGAACAACTGGATAATAGGAAACATTATTCCCGCGTACATTATACAACCAAGCAACCTGCATAGAAGCAATCACATGGGAATATCTTCATGCACCACACTATCAAATAACAAACATGAAAAGAAATCCAACACAGATTCTAAGCATCAACATAACATGGAATGTGAGAATTGAAAATATCTGAAAATTGGGGCTAGGGATTGTATAACTTACCTCATCAAGTGCAGTGATAATAATAGCACGAGCTTCCTCCTGCTTGAGCTTTTCCCTCAGATCCTTCACCTTGTTGGCAACAGAACGCCCTGCAAATTCCAAAGGATGGACATTTACAGGATTAATTTCAACTGGTGGCTGGTTTTTCCAAACTTTATCAACCAAGTTTGTGGATGTTTGAACCAACTTCTGTTGCTTTTTGCAAAAAGCATACTCCCATTTCTGTGCAGTGTCTACTGACACACACCAAAGATCAATGCCAACAGCCGCTTCTTTTGGAAGATTCTAATAAAGCATGTCATAATATGGTCCACGTTAGATGTTCAATGATTTGAAGGACTAAGATGAACTAAGTCAAAATAACCATACAAGTCCCCCAAGCATAGGCAAAATGAAAAATAAAGTAATAACAGCAGTGGCTGTTTTCAAACCAAACTATCCCTCTGGTGAGGTAAATATAAAATATAAAAATAAAATAAAGAAATAGAGGAAACATATATCTAAGGGGAGAAATGTATGAAGTCCATGACTAATTAGGAAGCCTTGGAAGAGGATATGTTCAAATTAATCCAAGTAACATGACTGGAGTACAACTTCATTGGAACATGTTCAGAACAATGTAGAGCAAAATGCTCCAATTTTAAGCAATATGAGCTGCTTCTTTTTTCCCAACAGTTGCATCACTCAGGGTGAGGAATAACATTGAAGAGTTAACTCCTTATAGCATAACTTAAAGTAAGTCACAGCAACAACAAAAAAAAAAGGATACGTGTCTCAACAAGGTGAAACATTTACTGTAGTGTGTCAATGAGGATGCATAGAAAAGGACAAAAAGGACTGGGAAATACATCATATGAAAACTAGAGCCAGTCATGCAAGTCCATTTGTTTAAAAGAAATTAAGAAAACTGATAAAATCAGTAAATAAGAAATAAAAAGGAGAGCTACATATAATATAAGAGGGTGATAAAATTTGTAAAGCACAAAAGTATTAGTAAAACACGTCTTCAAATCATCTATGCAGATAAGATGAGGATGTTAATGATAGAAAATGACAATGGAACAGGCCCAAAGTACCCTGCCTAGGACACGGTTCCCGGTTATCCAAATAATATGACAATAAAAGATGACGCATATAAAAGGACTCGAGAGTAACATGATTAAATATCAACATGTATTACAAGGACATACCAAAGAACCACTGAGAAGTGATCATGTGCATCTGGAGATCCTATAAAGATTGGTACAAGCCAGAAAACTACACAGATGGAGGTTGTATGCCATAACTGAGTATCAGCAAGTTCAAATAACTTGGAGGGGCAGAACAACTAAGGTTGCCCTAGCAACAAGTTAAAATAAGGCACCATAAAATCAACAATAAATAAGACGACACTTGAAAGTTGAAATAGAACATTCAAGTGTCACAGAATTGCCAAGTAGAGAAACAACAAGACATAGATACAACTCAAAGAACAAATGCGTTGGTTTGTAAACATCTCAAATTGTTATTTGGAACTATGTTAACTTGGTGAAGCATGATCTAAAATAAAACAAATGCTTAGAAAGGCTATTAACCACAGTAAATAACCGTATAGAAAAATTTAGAAAGGAAGGTGGCTCACATCTGCCATCCAGACATCCACAGTTGAGTCTCCTCCCATGCGCATGAGCTTCCACTGGTCACTTAGCTCCTGTGCTGCCTGCAAGAAGTACCTCCCATCGGTCCAGAGCAGGGCTTCATTCATTGTAATAAGTGCCAAACCTGAATGGAATTTAGCATCAATAAACTTATAAAACTAAAACTGATTAATCAAAGGTTTGAATCATTAGCATGTCAATACGCTGCATGGAAAATAAGGCTGCCATTTTGTACGATGGAAACATATAGGATAACTCCATAGAGAGGCACATAAAACCTACATTGATCACACACAAAAGATATAATCCAGTACCAAGGTAATGAAAGATTCCCCTAAAAGCAGGCACATAAAACCTACATTGTTCACACAGCAAAAGCTATAGAGTACATTCCAATACCAAGGTAATGGAAGATTCCCCTAAAAGGTGAGATAAGCATAAAAGCACCATTTTAATGTACCCATAATGTGGCTGGCTAGTGCTCAAAAACAAAAGCGTGGCGTCATCATTCATTCATTCAACAAAAGATCTCTTTAAAATTCAAGACCATAACTTCCCAATGATAAACAATGCCTCATTTTAACAGAGGCAAATTCCGCAAGTATTGCACTAATGAACAATGGAGTTCAAGGTATGTTTTCTCACAAAAAAATAAAGTTCGAGGTATGTTTTCTCACCAAAAAAAAAAAATTTAATAAATTTAAGCTATTGTTTGGTTGGGATTTAAGATGCAGTCATAATCTAATAAACAAATTGAGTAAGAGAGTGTTTGATAACTCAATTCCACACATTAAGTCTGTTTGATAATCACAATTTACATCACTTAAAATTTTAACAACCTATTAAAAAAAATTAATAAATAAAATTTTAAGCCAAAAATTTCGTACTTGAATGCTGAATTTTTAATTGTTTATGCTTATATTACCGTTAAAGTGTATCATCACTACCATTGTCACTCTACACTACTGCCACTATTTCTGCCACCACATTGCCGCCACCACTACCACCATCATCACTCTACCGTACCATTACCATACTATCACACAATCGCCATCACCACCATCACATCACCATTGTCACCACGCTGCCCCTCAAATACCATGCCAATGCCACAGACATCACCACTACCATCATGTCACCGCTGCCACCATTTCCGCCACCACAATTGTCACCACTGAGTCTACCCAGCACATTGCCACCGCCGCCATGTTGCTACCAACCCAACACGTAAATAAAAAAAATATATACAGAAAATAAATTTCAAACTCACTTTCTAATATACATATCAAATAGCTTGATTAAATTCAACACTGAAAACTTTTTGTACACACTTCGAATATTATTTCATATCAAAAAAATCATTTTCCAGATTTCAATTTTATCAACACCACCAAATTCTGGTGCCTAAAATTATATAAAAAATTAAATAAACATAATCTATTGACCTCACAGTAATCAGTAAAAGGATATAAGACGGAGCTAACTAACCAGCACTTCCGGTGAAGCCAGATACAAATTCACGCCTTTTATCCCTATCAGATAAATACTCACTCTGCCACGACATTCAACAAATGAAAGAATAATCCTAGGTTTTCAATCAATCAAACATTGATAAAACCATGAAATATCATAGAGAGAGAGAGAGAGAGAGAGAGAGGACCTGATGATAATCTTCGGAGGGGACAACTAAGGCATCGAGAGGTGGAGAGTGAGAAGACATCAAAGACCTCAAAGCAGCGAGTGTGTCCGCCATGCTCGTCCTTTTTTTGTTTCAGAGTTTCTTCTTCTCCTCCTTCTTCTTCTTCTTCTCTATTTTTTTTTGGGGAGGGGGGGTAAATTACAAATCCGCTTAGGGTGTACGCGGTGCGGGTCGGTGCGGTTTGAAAGAAAAATAGAAATCGTATGGTGGGTGACGGATTGATAAAGGTGTCACTAGAATTTGTTAAATGTTAGATTATTGATCATGAATTCGTAAATGAACATTATTATCTGTTTCTATAAAATGTTTATTTATTTATGCAACATCTATTAAATTAAAGTGGGTTATATTTCAGTTTATAAAAACTGTGTTAGAGTATCTGCATCAGCCTCAACAAATTTTGAGTCAAATTATAACCCAAAATCAACCTTTGTATTTTAGCTAGTCACCTTTTTAATATTCACTGTATCAAACTCTCTATTCTAACTCAATCTTATTAAAATATTAATTTCTTATTGTATTTGTTATTCTTTATTTTTTTATTAAATTGATGAGGTATTATCCAAACAATTCTTAAAAAATACAAAAATGCAAAAACAAAGAAAAAATAAAATTGCCCTTGATCAGCTGGTCGACTGGTTAGATTAATTTTTGGCATTTTTTCTTCTTCTGCTACAGGCACTACGGGACATCCGATAGAATATCCGGGGGACATCCGGTTTAAAGATTTTGGCCCAATTTTACTCTAAAAAATATAATAAAAAATTATGTAGCTAATAAACAGTGCTTCAACAAAGTTATTGAAGTAGTATAACAAATTTAACAAAAAATTAATTTATAAAAAATTTATTAAAGTTGATGAAAGATAATTTTATGATTTACTAATTATATTTTATCTTTTTGTTATTTTGATTATGTTACCCTGATCCGGATGCTCTAAAGTCCATAAACAAAATACAAAACATCATCAAACAGGTGGGACCAAACCCATGAGACAGGAAACAGGAGAGAGAGAAAGAAACAAGTTAAAACCTGAACCAGAACAAACCTATCCCATATATATTTTAGGTTGAATTACAACCCACATGAACTTTGCATAAAATACAAATCATTTTTTATAATCCTAGAAATTATATTTTACTTTTTGAAGTTTTTAATTTTATAATAATTATTTTTTTTATTAATAAATTATTAAGTTAATTAACATTTTAAATAATTTTATTATTGTATGAGAGAGTAATTAAAAATTTTATTTTTTCAATTAATTCTGTTAAATAAATTTTTAAAAAATATTTATAATATTTTA